AAAAAATCTAGATATATATCTGGAGTCCTAATTATTTACTGACTTAAAAAAAAGAGCTTACAAGTTCCTGTACCTCTTTTTCTGTAAATTCCAAGAAATCACGACGGATTAAATCGGCGCAAACCGTCGCATACTCTAAAGTTGTCTGCATATTTTCGAGTCTCAAGGATGGGAAGCTTTTAAGAGAGTAGAAAATGAGATGATTTGTGCTTGAGAGAATCACATGAAAATTGCGACGGAATTAATTCGTCCATGCTCATACTTTGCTCATATCTTGTTATGAATATTTGAATGAACTATTACCAGGAAATCTGCTTTTGAAAAATTCTGCTAATTGATTTTCGTCTGATTGATGTGTGAAAGGGGTGGGGGGTCATGCGATTTATTATCTTCAGACGACGCTTCAAATTTTGAACTTGACAAATTTGAGCGCTTATAGACGCGTTAATTGAAGGTAGTATTTTACACTTAAATGCTTTTAAAGACGGAGATTTTAGTCGGAAATAAACCTCTCCTTGTTATATAAATTTGCTTCCAAAAGGAAGAAAGCTTTTCCGTAAATTATACCAAAATTTACATGATCACTACCTGCTTTGATGTAGAGAAGGAAGGGACAAAATCAAAATTATTAGAGCTACTGACAAGGCCACTGCGCTAGAAATTCTGCTCCAATTGGACGTGTGCTCTGCAAAGAGAGCCTGGAAGTGAACGTAATCTTTATAGTTTCTAGGGCCAACCAGGTCAATTAAGTTCTGAATAATAACATAAATCTACATGAAGTGAGCGCTACAAAAATGTATGTATTATAGCGGCTATCACCAAGTGAACTTTTTAATTTTTTCGCCTTTTTTGCCTAAGCAACCGATCGACCTGGGCTGATAAACAGGCTTGCACCTACCTTGCACCTAAGCTGTAATGGCCCAGGTGGAGGGCGCGCAAGAGTTCCCAAAGCCTCGTCGCTTTTCTCCGAAGCAAGTAATCAGGCGTGCTGAGGGAACTTAACACCTTCCAAGCGCTAAGCTCTGGCTCCGCCCATTGCTCCGCTCACTGTTTGCCTACAGATCAGTCTCTGCAGGGCCAGGGAAGGAACGTGCGAAATAGAGAAAGAATAAGAATGAAGAAGATGATACTCGCATGCTTCTCTAGGATAGCACATGTTCAATATATGTTTAGGTGTTGGTGAAGAGGATTGGTGGCCATGTAGAACTGTTCATTACGCAGGCAATATTGAAGGTATTAAAGCCAGATTTCGCATTAGAGAAAGATGTGCTCAGAATAGTTCAGAATTTTAATGGATGTTTAGAGCAACTGTTTATAAGATTATCTTCGGGAAAACATCCGCAATTAGCACAAAATATCCAAGTCCGAAATGTGAGGTACGGAATGATACCTTTAGGTTTCGCAACTTCACTGCTGAGGTGACAGTGAGAGGGAGTGCGATAACAAGGGCAACACTTAAGCACCCAAAGGGATACTATATAAAGCCTAGCCAAGGATTTCTCTTCAACAGCACCATGTAAAATACCGCT